AATATAGGTACTGCTACCACGACTATTACGCATCACTTGAAAATAAACATTATAAAACTAAATGGCCTTATATATATATATATATATATGGTTAGCGTTTTGTATCGCTGAACGACCTAATAAACGTGTTCTTAAAAAAAAAGAAAATTGACGCGTTAATTTTATTGGACAATGAAAGTAAACGCAAACATTACAAACACCGATTAAAATGAATTAAATTGATTACAAAATAAGATGAATTGCCAATTTTTCTATAATAATATATTATTATTATTATAATTATTATTGTTATTGTCCAGTCGTTTCGGTCTCAGATACTATAAAACAGGGAGTCTGCGCGCGTTGAAATGGTATACGGCGTATAATAATACTTAGGTCCGCTGCAGCTAACGCAAGAATGTTTTTGACGGTGGTTTAAAAGTTAATTATAGTTTGATACCATTCGATTGTGATGTTAATGAGTTTATTGTTGTCATAGGGTGTCAGTGTCAGAATCCAACGCACCCTTAGAATTCAATCTCGTTCGCCCTATTTTTATTATTTTTTTTTTCATTCACCTTTTGTGCTATTATCGCCTACACAATAAGATCGAATCTACCCCAAAACCTACGTAATATTCTGATCGCTATATAATTCACTTGCCGTTGCTAGTCTCGCGTAAAATTTATATTCTTTAAGTGCCATAATAATATTTATATTCCAATTATGTATTTTACATTAAAAAAAAATTTTAAGTACCTACTAGTCATAACTTGTCGTTTTTAAAAAATACCTACCTATATAATATAAGTATAATACTAGATTTTTTTCCGAGCATAAAAATTATTAACTTGAAATTGTAATCAATTAATATACGCATTTTAGTGAAAATGTATTGTTCTAAATCCATAACACATGGACGTTAATAATAAATTATATAGATTTTATGTACCTACTGTACGAATTTTTTAAACACACTCATCATCTCATTTTGACGCTCGAATAATATAGTTATTCAATTACTGTTGTATTTTTTATTTTTAGAAAATGTTTAAAATTATGAATGTGTCAACCCAAAAACTTATAAATCGTTTATAATACACTTACCGTTTCAAGAGTATCCGATATGGCAATATTACAAATATAGATTTTTTTTTTTACGTGAATGATTATTGTTCAATTTGTTTTCATGACATTTAATTATTATGTTAGTATAGAAGCGAAAATTTGAACAGATGTAGGTATAACGCTGTAAATGAACTTAAAATGGCAATCCTTCCTCTTCCCCTCCCCCCACCAAAAAAACAGACTGAAAAAAATCTATTATTATTAGAAGATAAAAAGCTGTTATAGAATAAAGAAGACAGGTGCAGCCACTGTTATAGATGATTTAATGTACATCTGTAAGCAACGATCAACCATTGCTAACGAAATACGATCCTGAGTGGAGTTCGGTGAATAGTGTTGCTTTGTCAACAATATAGGTATATGCCATATTATGTTAAAATAATTACATATGCATTATATATTTTCTTTAATAATATTTGCTCAATTTTTTATACCTATTTTCCCGTTTTCCCTACATTTTTACCGGTTTTAAAACTTACTCTACTCGGAGTCTAAAATGGTTTGCAAAAATGCTTAGAGAATCGCTCTGTATACAACTATACACGACTATACGAGCTATGCCTTAGTTATAATTTTTTTTTTTATAAGCCATTTACTGAGCTATGCGACACATGCGGAGCATACTTCAAAGAGACTGTATATTATGTAGGTACCTACTAAACAATAATATGTATTCAAAAACACCATCATTACAATGCGAGTTATTCTATCCTAGTCCCTTTTTAAGACATTTCAAATAATAGAAACGAGTATTTCTGACGAGTGGTTTGCTGAGTTTGGCAACCCCCGTTGTCAGTAGATACTACCTATAACATATCGGTTTATTATCCATATAAATTCAATTTTTTTTTGTACCTACATATTAAACCTTATACAATTTTAATTTTTCCTATGTTCGTTCGTCTGCTTGTCCGCTATACGGATCTACAGTTTTATTCCGATTTTGTTGAAACTTTGTACGCTTATTGTTATTTCAAACAAGAGGAAAATTGCAGTCCACATTTCATCTCTAAATTCAATACCGAAAGTATGGCTGCATAGAGTTTTCGGAACGCATATTTAATATTTTTTTATTTTTTTTAGTTTATGGGTTACCTTGATGACATAGATGAAAAAAAAACAGTTATTGTTTTTTAAGGCAGAAACGAGAAAACACGTTAAATTTAATTTCTTTTATTGATTTACGTGTTTGAATAGGCTGAGCCCAGGAAATCCTAGTTAATTTGGGTGAATGTATAAGTTCTTACACGATAAAAAAAGTTACGTGTTTGTATGTTAGTTCCCAAATAACCAAAATAAGTTATTTTTATTTCAACATTTCTTAAAAAAATTTAAAACAATTAAATAAATTTTAGTATTGTAAAAAAAAAAACCATATTGTATATTAAACGGATAATTGTAAGTACACGTTTGACCTATTTAAAAAAAAATTCATTATGTAATAAAAGTTTAAATGAACTTACAAATAGTTTAGAATTAAAACCAGCACCTATTTTGACTGTGGTAAAATATAAAATTTCTTTTTTTTCAGATGTAAAAATATCTGAAGTATTTTTATTTATTGTTCCTATTGTTGTCATTTCTACTTCTGGTTACAAAAATTTTCAAATAAAAAAACATATTTTATATTTTATATGGTTTATTTTTGAATTCTAAATACTTAATATAATCGTATTCTTTACATTCAATTTATAATTTCTAAATTTCTATCAATCGTATTGATTAAATTTTTTTAGTATATTCTAAAAATCGTTTTCTTTTGTACAATTTTCTTTTTCAACGTATTTTTTTACATATTTTTGCAGGGAATAATTTGGCGTTCCATTTTTAATTTTTTGTGTAAATTGCGGCCCGGGTATATGTTATACATACGTACATTTCGGCCCGATTATATTTTGTTTATATCACTAAATATTTTTTATTCATACGCATAAATTACGTCTTATACTGTTTTTATAAAATCAATATTTACTTTCCTATATTTCAGACTTAGGACTGAAAAAAATATTGTTATTAATATTGGTATAGTTAGTAAAAATATTAGTTTTGCTTTTTTTATTTATAATTAAACAATTAAGATTATTAATAAGAATCATCTTTAATAAAATGTTTATACATTCATTTTTAAGCATGCTTTTATTTCTTTTTAGGATAACATTTTTAGGAAAAGTGTAGAAAATCACATCCTCTTGGTATTGACTGTTGAATGAAAATAAAATAATTATTTTAAATATGTTTACACAGAGAATATAATTTACAAATTTAGTATAAATAAGTTAATTATCTTACATTGTTTTACATTGTAGAACATGACAATATTTATGTTTTTTGGGAGTTATTGGTGTTGTGGTACAATAAGTATGATCCATAATTATGGATTGGCACTTGGCAGCTATTAAATGCGAATGTGTAATCAAAATTAAAACACGACGTTAATAAATTATGACAAATTGGATAAACGAATTCTCAATATTTTCAATTTTATATTTCATCTATAATTCAGTTTTAATGTCGACCCCGTTACAACGTTTTATGCCACCACCGCCAGATATGAGCCACTTCGCTTTCTATCGCAAATACCTAGAAGTTGATATCAAAATTCCAATAGGCATCGAAAAAAAAAACAATAAGAGAAAGTGCAGCAGTTGCAAAAAGGCAAATAAAAAAGGCACTTCTGACACAGTGTAAACAAATGTAAGTCACAAAAAAGTTTCTCAAATACTGTAGATAGATGTGAAATCACCTTTGTATACTTGGCAGGTAATGAAACAAATAAAATATGAGGGACGTCCAGAAAGTAAAGATACAAGCCCGTCCACGGCCTCAAGGAATTTTTTCTCCGAACGTTAGTACTACGATGGACTTACGACGAGATTTAACGAACAATTAATCAAAACCAAAACCATTTCAGCGCGTTTAAATCTCTGTTTGTGAGAGGTTTTCACGATGGGCGAGTAGTCATTGCGCTATCAAGCCACTTCTATCACTGATTATTTAAAGTGTGATCCGTCTTCTTGCCTAATACAGAGTCATTCACTCTGAAATCCATAATCAACATGTCCAGGCATAAGGCCCAGACGTCATGAACCAGAGATTTCAACGTACTGTAACGGTTTTGGTCCTGATTTGTTCATTACATCTTGTCGTAAGCGCAGTAGTCCCAACGTTCGAAAAAAAATCCCTGCGGCTGTAGAGAGACTTGTATCTTTACTTTTCGGACGTCCCTTGTATTACAATGATAACGTATTAATATATTGTATAAAATTAATATTATTACCATTGTATATATTATAATCGTTAACTAAAACATGTATAGTGTCTATGATAAGTATTGTATAACACAACAGTACTATAATATCTATATACTCTAAGTTATTCCATCCGTATTTCGAAATATTAAAACTGTATAACTCTCTTAACCGATGGTTGAAACTGGTTTTCACCAGTATCAATATATTAATATATTATACTTAAAATTACTCCGATACTCTCATTTACACAAACAGATAAACTAAAGTTAATAGTTAATCTTATATATAAAATTATCGTGTCACAATGTTCGTTCCCATACTCCTCCGAGACGGCTTGATCGATTCTCATGAAATTTTATATGCATATTCAGTAGGTCTGAGAATCGGCTACTATCTAAGTTTGTATGCTCTGCGATAAGTGGTTCCGGAGTTATGGCCTCTTAAGTCAAAGTATACTAGCACGCACGATATTCAACAATTATTATTTTGCCATGGAGAGATAATATACACTCTATGTGGTTATTTTTTATTATTGGTTTCCGTGGCACCCGCGTGCCAATAACAATTGAGAACGGCTGGGCCGATTTGGCTAATTTTGCTAACCTAACCTAACCTATGTACGTGTGTTTTGCACATATTTCAATGCCAACAAAACGCAAAGGGGCTGATTTGAACCATAATACAAGTAAATCTCGAAGCTTGCAAAATAGAAGATCCGAAAGAACCGAAGAACAAATCCAGCAACAAAATACTGATGCACGTGTCAGAATGGCGCAATTGCGTCAAGAAGAGTCAGAAGACACACGAGTTGAACGCAATGAAGTAATAAGATTAGAACAACGACAATCACGCCGTTTCACAGTCAATAGACGCAGAACAAATGACCAACAACGACAACAAGTACATCGAGCATTTACATCTGATTCATTCCTGCGTCTAGCATTCCAGTATGAGCCCGATATTGAATATTATGCTCATTCAAAAGTGGTAATTGGTGCTATGGACAAGGAATGTCCGCATTGTCATGCTCTGAAATTCAAAAATGAGCCAGCTGGGATGTGTTGCGCGTCAGGAAAAGTGCAACTACCTGAAATTGAAACACCATCTGAACCATTGAACGGTTTACTTATCGGCACGGATCCAGATTCTAACGTGTTCCTGAAGTCAATTCGNGTGAATAAAAACGATGAAATAACGCTCTACCAAATTGGTCGGTACATCAGCTCCAATGAAGCTGCTTGGCGTATCTTTGGTTTTTCTATTCATGAACGGGATCCAGCAGTTGTTCAGTTAGCTGTCCATCTTGAAAACGGTCAGCGTGTATTTTTCACGAACGAGACAGCGATTGATCGTGCTATAAATCCACCAAAAACTACACTCACTGATTTTTTTGAATTGTGTAATCGTGCGGATGATTTTGGTGCCTTTGCCCGAACATTACCCTATTCACAAGTACCACGCTATTTCACATGGGCTCAAACAAAAAAATGGATGCCTCGCAAGCAAGGCTCACCAGTTGATGCATGTCCCAATTTATTCAAATCAAACGCCTTGGGGCGATTATTTACAGTCAATCCAAGACACACTGAGTGCTTTTATCTTCGACTGTTGTTGGTTAATGTTACTGGCCCATTATCGTTTCAAGATATACGTAAAGTGAATGGGCAACACTATCCAACGTATAAAGATGCATGCCTTGCACTCGGCTTGCTGGAAGACGACAACCAGTGGGAATGTATGCTTGCTGAAGCTGCATTGAACTGTACAGCAATACAAATTCGTCTACTATTCGCTATAGTGTTGACTAAATGTTTCCCAGGCCGAGCACAGATATTGTGGGATAAACACAAAGATTCAATGACATGATATATTGCATCAACACGGTGCCACNTATAAAGATGCATGCCTTGCACTCGGCTTGCTGGAAGACGACAACCAGTGGGAATGTATGCTTGCTGAAGCTGCATTGAACTGTACAGCAATACAAATTTGTCTACTATTCGCTATAGTGTTGACTACATTTTTCCCAGCCCGAGCACAAATATTGTGGGATAATGACAAAGATTCAATGACTGATGATATATTGCATCAACATCGTACACGGTGCCACGATCTAGCCATAACATTCAGCGACGCAATGTACAATGAAGCATTAATTGCTATTAAGGATCTTTGCATTGTCATTGCCAACTTATCACTCAGTCATTTCGGTAAGAATTCGCCAAATCAAACTGAATTTGATTTAATGAATACTGAAATGAATCGTGAACTGCAGTACAGCACTGTAGAAATGGCAGCGATTGTTGCCCACAATGTCCCACTAATGAATGAGGAACAAAGAACCGTTTATGATTGCTTAATGCTCGCAGTTTCAGCTGGACAAGGTGGGTTCTTCTTTTTGGATGCACCGGGTGGAACTGGCAAAACATTCGTTATTTCGCTAATTCTTGCTGAAATACGATCAAATAATGGCATCGCATTGGCCGTTGCATCATCGGGCATTGCAGCAACTTTATTGGATGGAGGCAGAACAGCTCATTCAGTATTTAAGCTGCCACTAAATATTCAGAATAACCCTGACGCAGTATGGAACATTAAGAAACAATCGTCCATGGCCACCGTGCTGAAACAGTGTAAAATTATCATCTGGGATGAATGTACTATGGCACATAAACATTCGCTTGAGGCGTTGAACAGGACATTGAAAGATATTAAAAACAACGACAATCTATTTGGCGGAACTCTGTTGGTCCTTTCAGGTGATTTCAGGCAAACACTTCCAGTCATTCCACGTTCAACATACGCTGATGAGATCAACGCTTGCTTAAAATCATCTCCATTGTGGCGTAATGTTGAAAAAGTACAGCTGAAAGTAAATATGCGCGTTCAAATGCTTTAAGATCCATCCGCTGAAACATTTTCAAAACAACTCTTAGATATCGGTGATGGAAAAGTTGCTATAGATGAAACTGGATACGTAAAATTACCGACCGATTTCTGCACAATCGCTGATTCGCAAGATACTCTCATTGAACAAATATTTCCCGATGTACACACACAGTACATAAATCATGAGTTGCTTGCAGAAAGAGCAATTTTAGCGACAAAAAATGTAGACGTTGACAATTTAAATCTGAAGATACAAATGTTGTTGCCAGGGAACTAGGTATCATATAAATCTATTGATACAGTTTGCGACGACAGCGAAGCAGTAAATTTTCCCACAGAGTTTTTGAACTCACTGGATTTACCAGGCATGCCACCGCATAATTTACAATTAAAGGTTGGATCTGCGATTATCTTGCTTCGTAATTTGAACCCACCCCGGCTGTGCAACGGTACGCGATTAGTCATTCAAAAATTAATGAAAAACGTGATCGAAGCCAGCATTTTAAATGGCAAGTTCCGAGGTGAAAATATATTAATACCACGGATTCCTATTATACCTACAGATGTGCCAATTCAATTCAAACGTATTCAGTTTCCGATTAGATTGGCATTTGCAATGACAATCAACAAATCCCAAGGTCAAACGATGTCTATTTGTGGCTTAGATTTGAGAACACCATGTTTTTCACACGGACAATTATACGTAGCATGCTCTCGAGTGGGTAAACCATCCAGTTTGTTTGTGTTAGCTAAAGATGGACCAACAAAAAATATTGTTCACGCTATAGCATTAAGAGATTGATATTTTTAAGGAATAAATTATAAGAACTTAAAAATAATGTTTGCCTTTTGTTATTTTTATATTCCCTCATCGTTCACAGCGCTCCATGCCTCTTTCACTAATTTACCACATCCTTAAACACTTACAATAAGTTAGTTATTTTTTTTCTAGACTATAGATTCCCTAGAAATAATTTATATGGCAAAACAACGCTTGCCGGGACAGCAAGATAATAAGAATCAGCATAATCTGAATAAGAATAATCATCACTTAAATAATAATAATGATCAGCAGCAGCA